ATTTTACTTACAAATGTTTCTGTCCTCAATAAGTCTTTTGAATTAATTATCTCCATGGCTATTATTTTAAAATATATTCTGTTATTTTTGGAGATAATATGTTTCTAACTGGTTTACTTTTTATAAATATTGTGCTTACACATCTGTCTTTATATGACCTTCTAGTTAATTGGTTTTCTTTGGAAAAATTTCTAAGACAAAAAAAAAGTTCAAAGAAAATTAAAAGTTCAATTTCTATTCATGATACTTAGTATGTATTTCTTTGCTTTTTAGTAAATGTAAATTGTGCTTTAGTCAGGGAAGAATTTTGTTCTTTTCAAATTGAATAGCTATTGGTGATTAGTCTTCTAGTTTGTGAGATAACTTTAACTTTCATTTCAAGGGGGTTTTTTTTGTTTGTTTGTTTGTTTGTTTTTCATTTCAAGGTTTTTTATCTTTTATTCTAATCCTTCCTTATTTTACACCTGTTGGTTTGTGAGAGACATTACTTCTTCATACTACATTTTAAACCATTTTTTATTTTAAAATGGAAAACTATTTATTGTTTCTTCTCCAAACTATATGATTGCTTTCTTACTTGCTCCTGAATCTCATGCTTTGCTGAGCTTTTTGAATAAAGTAGTTTTTTATCTTAGATTCCTGTCCCTCTCTCACTACTTTCTAGTCTCTTTGGACTCCTAACTGTCCCTTGGGGTATTAGAGACTATACATGGGAGGAGATTGCCTCTTTTTCTCTCTGAGTCTCTGGTAGATTTAAACTGTCAGAGAGACTTGGTTGTCTTCATGAACTACTCTTTAAGTAAATTGGAAGTTTTGGAATGGGTATATTAAATAAACTATTGATTTAAAAATACTGGCATTTCAGATTTTATTGAACATTGTCATTATTAATCTCTATAATTCTAGTTATTTCACATTGTATTTTTAGATTTTTTAAAAGATGATTTGTTAAATTCAAATATCCTGTAATTTTGCTTTCTTTATGCTTTTGAATTTTAAAGTCTGAGTGCTGTCAAGTAACTTTTAGAAATGATGACATAAAGGGAAAAAACTATCTTAGAGCATATAAGATATGCTGGTATTTATTGCCCTAATGGTACAACTTTCATTAATAAAAATATAATGTGAGCTACATATGATTACATTTGAAAAAGAAACAACTGAAATGAATTGTAAATATTTAATTTAGTATTTAAAAATACCACTTCATTGTGTAATTAATATAAAAATATTGAGATCTTTTACTTCCCCTCCATAGTAATGTTCTGAAATAAGGTGTTTATTGGGATGGGAGTGTCAGAGACAGTGCAATTGGCACAGGACAGAGCGGAGTTTAGGGCTGTTGTACATAGGGTCGCTATGAGTCGCAGACGACTCGACAGCACATAACAACAACAACATTTGATCCATGCATATCTAAACTTGTATTAGCCATATTTCAGTGTCTTAATAGTCCCCTGTAGCTAATGGCTACTATATACATCCATTGCAATAAACATACCTTTGTAGTGTGTGTGTGTGTGTGTGTGTGTGTGTATAATTATTTACTACAAAATTTCTTCTTTTAACCCTAGCACACATTAATTAGTTTAGTTTGGTTGGCTTGTATGGTTTGGTTGTTTTTTTTTTAATACTGAATATATGTTAAGTACAAGTACAGTGCAGTGAGCATTCAGCAGCAGAACAAGTATTTCCAGCTTGATTGATCCTTTTGGACAGAGCAACTGTAAAACAGTGTACAAGTTAAATGTGGTTTAGTTAGGTGATCCGTAGTCCAATTTAGATGATGTGGAAGGTGTGAAAGACAAAACAAGATTCATCATTGTTAATTGTTGAACTCTCTACTTTCATATATATATATTTGAAAATTTTCATAATAAAGTTTTAAAAGAACCCTGAAATGTAAATATCTCCCTTTTTTTAAGAAGAGGCATTCAGAAGATTGATAGACTATTTGGGACTGCTATTTGACTAGAGGTTGGATCAGATGTAATGAATTTGGAGTTATCACCTCAGGTGGCTGATTTGTAAGGCTATGTAAATCAGAAATTAGAGAATGAGAAGGAGCAGGGAAAAGAAATTTCCATAGTTTATAGAATGTTCATTGGAGCATGAGTTTCTGCAGCAGGATGTCTAGTTTGTAGACATATTGAGTGGTTTTGTAGAAATAGAATCAAAGAGCAAGAAGTTTTAGATTACTGAAATGTAGATAGATAAACATAATGTCTGTATTGATAACTAGATTTTATGAAATGTTGGACTTACCTTTTTTAAAATTTCATTTAGTCATGTTTTAATCCTTAACTTAGAAGTTAACAGCTTGCAAACATTTGCAATCCCGGGCTCTATATTTCTCAGTATCCTCTCAGGATTTCTTTATCCCTTTCCATTAGCCTTATTTCTTGTTTGTTTGGTAAGTATATAAAATAACATTGGGGGGGGCAATACCTTTAAATTAAATTATAATGATAGTGATCTTAATCTTTCCAACTTTGTTTTAGTGTAAATTCTGTAGTTAAAGAAAAATTAGGTGAGCTCTGGTGGCCTAGTGGCAAGAAGCTGCACTGCAATCCCAGAGGTGTATGGTTCAAATCCACCAGATGCTCTGCTGAAGAAGGAGGAATAATCACCTCCTGTACCAGTCAGATCTGATTTGACAGTACACACATAAAAAATAATAATAAAAATTAAAAAAGAAAAATTACATTTTAGAGTTGTTGAGTACTATGGAGTTGGAACTGACCCATAGCTGGACCCTCCAACGAGGTTTTGAGAGGCAGTTAATCATACAGGAGATTGCCCACCTTTCTCTGGTGGAGCAGCTGATGGATTTGAACCACTTGCCTTTAGGATTGCAGCACAGGTTCTTACCACTGTGCCACCAGATTATCTGTTAAATCCTTCCTTAAGAATTGGTAAAATTAGTTTTCTCTTTCTCTTTTCTAGAACTAGAGTATGGCAGACTTAGGTGCATTGCATTTATAGGCTTGCTTTGTACCTTTACCCCTGTTTTTTTTTTTAAACTTTTGTAATTAAGACTATTGGTAGAGAACAGTGAATTAAGTTTCAACATTCAAGATGCAGGGGTAAGGAGGGTAATTTCAAGCATAGTGATTGAAAATAAAGTGACTCTTAAAATTTTATTGTTAGCTAGCATTAATTGTTTAAACATTATACTCCACTAAATTGAATCATAAATGCCAGTTTGCTTTGTCTAATCTCTTCAGTAAGGATTGGGGTGAGGAAGGACTGGGTTCTTGTTCTCTGTCTAAGAGATGTCATATAGGGTATTTACATCACCTGAAAGAAGTAAACTAGTTGTTAAGGTGAATATATCCATGTGAATAGCGTGGAAAAATACAAATTGTGCATGTTTTTTTGTTACTTTTCAGTGCTCTGGACTTGGTGCCTCTTTCTGCTATATGCTCTCCTATTTAGTTGGAAGGCCAGTAGTATACAAATACCTAACAGAGAAAGCAGTCAAATGGTCACAGCAGGTAAAACCTTTATGTTTTTAGTTTAACATTTTCACTAGCTTGGAGGTCAATATTGTTCCTACTTATATTAACTCAGGCCTTTAATAAAATTTATCTTTGGGGTGAATGTTAATAACAATTTAAAATATTTCTGGTGCTTATAATGGTAATTTCATTTTTAATCCTGGGAAATCCAGTCAGAGCCGAGAAGCCTAGAGTACATGAAATGAATACCAGTTTTTTGTTCGTACAGCATGCTATCAATATGCCAACTCTTTTTATATTTCATCAGTAGACACATCTGTTATCATCAGCCAGGATCTCTGCTGCAGGAAAACTGAACTTACTGTCTTTGTGTGAGAACCAGAGTCCTGACCCTCCAGCAGGTTTTCAGAGGCTGTAAACCATACCCTTCTTTCTCCCATTACTTCAGACTAGCAAGAATAAATTTAAGCACTGCTTCCCAACTTCCCAACTTAATATTACTACATCCTTTCTTAAACTTCCTTGGGTACTTGTTTGAAAATTAACTCAGGTACACACACAGGCAAATGATAAGTCTTTCTGAGTGGAGTGCCTAGGATTTTTTTGTAAAAGGTATTCATATCCTCACTATAAGATAAAGGTAAATAATCCATTTTAAAAATGGCCATAGGATATGAACAGACACTTCACCAAAGAAGACATTCAGATGGCCAACAAGCACATGAAGAAATGTTCAAAATCCCTAGCTCTAAGAGAGATGCAAATCAAGACAACTATGAGACATTATCTCATCCCAGTCAGGGTAGCAAAATTTAACAGAAAAGCAAGCAACAAATGCTGGCGAGGTTGTGGAGAAACTGGAACCTTTATTCACTGTTGGTGGAAATGTAAAATGGTGCAACCACTGTGGAAGGTGGTATGATGCTTTCTCAAAAAGTTGAAAATAGAGATACCGTTTGACCCAGCATTTCCAATACTGGGAATATACCCTAAAGAGACCATAACTGACATCCAAGCAGATAATGCACACCCATGTTTATTGTGGCATTGTTCACAATAGCAAGGAGTTGGAACAACCTAAGTGCCCATCAACAAACGAAAGGATAGAGAAGCTGTGGTATGTTCACACAATGGAATACTACACTGCATTGAAAAACAAGGAACTCATGCAATATTATTCAAAATAGGTGACCCTAGAGGACATTATGCTGAGTGAAGTATCTCAGTCACAAAAAGACAAATACTGCATGGTGCCACTGTTGTAAAACAGGAATGACATTGGGGTTGAAGGGAGACTGAGAATGATGGGATAAATAATGTATACTGCATTGAAACAGATGAGGGAGAAAACTGTTTAAAAGGGATATGTGATTAGGTATTTTTGTCATGACAGGAGTACAGAGTGAAGGCTGCATAGTGGAGTGGACCGGGGGGAGGGATTGTAAAACAATGAAAGAATTTTTCTTTTACTTTTCCAAGAGGGTAGTGTACTAGGGGGGAGGGTTGGGAAGGGAGAAAAGTGCTATAGTGAAAATTTATAGAGACTTTGGGTTTCCATTCATTCATTGTTGCACTTTTCTCCCAACCCTCCCCCCTAGTACACTACCCTCTTGGAAAAACCCAAATCTTTTAAATACAAATATTGAAAAAAATTTCACTGATCCCGAGAGCAAATTTGTTAAATATGTGCAGATATGTTTTGTTTGGGTTTTTTTTTTTTTAAATTCTTTACAGTTACAGTGTGTATATTGTGTTCTCATTATTGGAAAAAGTTTTACTGTCTTTTCAAACTACCTATACTTTGTGTGAAATTAAGATACCTTTTTTTGTGATATTGTATTGCCCAAATTTAATTGGCAAGATTGGGAAAGCAATGTTGTGATTATGTACCATCAAATTGATACTGATTCATGGTAGTTGATTCAAATCTACCAGCTACTCTGCAGAACAAAATTGTACAGTCTCCTTCTGTACCATTTACAGCCTATGAAAACCCACTGGAGGGTTAGCTATATGAGTTGGTTTCAGCTAGCCTGCACATAACAATGTAGCACGTATTGGACAGAATAGAACTGGTTGAAAGGTTTATTTAGGCTGTAATTTTTTTTTTTTTTAAAGAAACTTATTAAGGGGGCTCTCCGACCGAATTCCTTGGTCTGGAGAGAGAGAGAGACAGGGAGAAAGATAGACTAGGGAATACCACTCTAGGCTATAATTTTATAAGAACTAAACCGTATTCTCTTTTTTTTGAACTAGTTTTGTTGATGTGCTGGATTAGTCCTTTAGGTTGTAGGAAATTGAAGGCATTAAAAAGTCCATTTGATGTGTCTCATATCCAGTTATATGTTTAATTTTACCATTTCAGATTTAAAATGTCATTGTTGAGCTATCATTATTTAAACTGATGCAGAGAAAAAAAAAACTGGTGCAGAACTAGCTTTAACATGAATATATAAGCATAGTTTTAAAGAAAGTTTCATGGTTTTTAGCTATAATAGTGAACACAGTGAATAAATTTATTGTCATTTTCAGACTCCTTTTTTGATGATTTTTGTGGGATGAATTATCAGGGCTAAGAATTTGAAATAAGCTTTTTATATTAAGTAACAAATTTTTTTTTTTACAAATACCAATTTATTATAACTGCTATGACGAAAATAAGAGGGTCGAAGCCTGGAGTGTGGGGGTGCTCCTGAGCTCAGGTGATCTGACAAAACTGAAAATTAGGTAGTCGTTAATATGTTAATAGGTCAGTAAGTAACAAATTTTTAAGATTGGCTTTGTCTTAATGTTCTCTTTTTCTTTTTTAATGACAGGTTGAACGTCATAGAGAACATCTTATTAACTACATTATATTTTTAAGAATAACACCATTTTTGCCTAATTGGTTTATTAATATTACTTCTCCTGTGATAAATGTACCACTGAAAGTGTTTTTTATTGGCACTTTTCTAGGTAAGGCCTTTTATCCATCCTGACTTAGATCTTCTAGTGTATTTAGCTAATATTATACAGCATGATTAGACTATATGTTCCTTGTAAATGTGCAGGCATCATGATAATCTTAGATATAGTGCCTTGCCTGTATATTAATTTTTTTAATTGAGATTTTAATGAAAGTTTTTAAAGAACTTGGATTTCCATTCATTCATTGCTGCACATTTTCTTTCTTGCCCCCCAACCCGTTCGCTTTTTTTTTTAAAGTTCTTTTGTTGTAACAGTCTTACCTCCCCCGCCCCAGACCACTTTACCATGCAGCTCTTATTCTGGGCTGTTGTCATGCCAATTATACCTAATCATATATTCCTTTTTTAAAAACCCAAACACCTCTATACTATCAAGTCAAAACCGACTTATAGCTGGCTGGCCCTCCTGCAGATTTTTAGGAGGCTGTAAATCACATGGGAAGATACCTCTCTTTCTTCCTTGGTTAATTAGAACAGCCAGAGGGGAACAGCCTTTGGGCTAGCAGAGCAGCTCTCTGCAGATTGCATCACCAGGGCTCCCCCAGTATATATAAAGGCTTAGAAATTATGATGTTGATTGAAGGTTTGCTTATACTAACATATTCTATTGGATATTATTTTAATTATACATAATTATGTACAACTTTTAAACTCCATTTTCTCCCACAGAGGAAAGAAAAATCCAGGTAGCTTTTTGAGTAATTTTTCCTTTGTCTTCTATTCGAGTACTGAAGTATTAAATTTTAATTTCATTTTCAGTAGAGAAGTGATCTTATTTTTTTTCTTAAATCAGTATATACTGATGGCATTACCAAAAATTTAGAGCAACAAAGATTTGCTTTCAAGAAGTTGTTAAACTTAATTTTTAATTACTTTGTGAATTCTGATGATACTTAGTACAAAAATTCTTTGGTCTTTTCAGATTTAATTTGATTTGTTTCGATACCATCAAAAAGCCGATTTTTCATATAAAGTAATGAGTCAGTTAAAATTTAAACTAATACTTAAAAAAATAGTTCTTTTTTAAAAAAATAATCAAAATCATTTATTGCTACTAGGAATATTTTGAATTTTTGACATTAATGTCATACTTGTAGGATCAGAAGAGACATTTTGAGTCTTATTTTTCAAGTGTAATACCTTTAGCTTTGGCAAAAGTCCTATTTTTTGTTTGCTTTGAGTTTTAATGAAATATGGTCATTCTATGTGTACTCTTGTCTAACTTTTTTATGGATATAGTTTTGTGTTGCTATACCTTTATTTTTATTTTTAAAGTACTACTTCATTTCTCTTTTCCCCCCACGGGAGAATAATGGGCAGTCTCCTCCCGTGTGATTAACTGCCTCTGAAAACCCACTGGAGGGTTCAGCTATGGGTCGTTTCTGACTCAGAGGTACCACAACAACAATTTCGTTTTTACTTAAACTACATTCTATCAAGGGTAAAGAAAATTTTACTCAACTTTACTTTGACTATTTAGATTGTTTTCAGAATTTTTATATAGTAATCTGATGAACATCCCTCAACCTACATTGAAAATTTTCTAAAGTTGAAATTGCTAAGTCAGAGAACATACCTTTTAAAAAAACTATTCTTTACACATTTTTATTGGGTTTTAAAATTTGTTATTTCCACAAATTTTTTTGTCCTTACACAGAAAGAAATTGAGACTTACTTTGTTATTTTTTCCCCCCAGGTGTTGCACCTCCCTCTTTTATAGCTATCAAAGCAGGAACTACCTTATACCAACTTACAACAGCAGGGGAAGCTGTTTCCTGGTACTCAGTTTTTGTTCTGATGATTTTGTCTGTGGTTTCCATCTTGCCAGCTGTTTTTCAGAAAAAACTAAAACAGAAATTTGAGTAAAAATTCTTCTGGATTTTAGTTCACCTACCACCATCATCATCTCAGGATTAGCAAGCATATCTATTTGTGTCTCAAAATTACCTCTTTAAATTGAAATGAAGAATTTGCTATTCAGTTAAAATAATGCATTTAAGAAGGACAGACAAAGTGAAAATTCATATATATTTTGAGAAATGTCAACAGTTCTGATAAATATCTTCTAGATTGCTATACAAAGTATAGCTTCAAATAATAACCAACAGGTTAGTAATTCTTGATCCAGCTGCAGTTCATTTAATATTATTTCATAAACTAGTCATACATAGTTACTCATGACTTAATTATATATTTCTCTGTTAACCCTTATTAATGATTAAAAATAATGTTAAAAACAAATTCTGGATTGCTAAAAAGTAGTGTTGCAGTTCTGGCTAAGATCAACCTCTTTTCAGAGCATGAATTTTAAAGTTTAGAAGAGATTTGACATTTTCTTCCTTTTTGAGGTAAAAGGTTTGTTACATCTTGGTAAACCACTAAATGCAGACGGGCTCTCAAGTTGTACTTGTTTTTAATCATTAATTAGTTTGAGATTTCTCATTCTGGCTAGTCTGTTTTCCTCGTTTTCTTTAGTTTTCATAATATTTCCACTGTGCATATACAAAATGGAGATTATAAAATAACTGTAGTATGTATATTGGTGTTGATAATTTATATTCAGATAATATTTTGTTATACAGATACCCTTTAATATCTCAAAAGGGATCTAAAAACAGCAGTCTTATGTGTTAGATCAGTTGTACTAATTTATATTTTGAAGCAGAAACTTAGTGCTAATGTAGTTTGTTAAGTGGTTAGATACTTATAAATTGGTCCGATGACTGTAAATTTTACCTCATTTATTTATTAGTCTGATTATTGAGGTATGTATTATGTGATTCTTTTTATTATGCATGATATACCTAAATGAATGCCTTCTTTCCTTTCTCTCGATCACTTTTTTGTTTTGGGCTGCTTTTTATTATTGCAGCTTTTCAGCTAGGGTCTTTAGTTTTTCTAATTCAGAAGGTAAAAATTACTTCTCACATGAGTGACTAATGTATTTAAATTGTCCTAGAGAAAACTAAATGGCTCTTTGCTACTTAGCGGTCATGCCCTTAAGTTCTTAATTCTAGGACATCACCAGTCTTATTCTCTGTTAGTTTTACCTTCACTGAAACTTGTTATTATGTTGAACAGTACTTTACATGTGGGAGAAATTCTTGTATGTTTTTATTGTGAGAAGTATAATCATCCTCAATGCTTGTTTCTATAACATAATGTGGATTGATTAATTATTTTTTCTATCACAGTATTAACAAATGGATTTATTGTAAATACAAAGAAAATATATTAATATACTATTCTTATGTCACTTGGCATTTTGTGTGAGATTATTTATTATTTCTAGCAAAGTTTTCTTCCTTATTGAGTAGAAACTAAGTGATAAATTTTTTGTTATTTTTACAAATAAATTTAAAACAACCTTTTTGGATAAATTCACAAAATATTATCATGTAAAATGTAATTAAGACATTTTTATCAGACTTTTAAGAATAAAAATATGAGTTTAGACTCGGGAGAAATCTATGTATTCTCTTTGTATATTGTGCCTACGCTTGAGTATTTTTCTTTATCATTGGTCATTTCCTTATACTGTTTTCAACACACACACACACACATATTAGAAAACTGTAGACACTTAGATGGATTATTTCCTTTCCCCACAAGAGAATAGAATCTTTTTTTTCTGTTCAGTCATTCCAGATTCATCACAGATAATTATCAGAAAGAGTCCTTCCCTAGAATGTACGCTAAATGCCACTGGTAGCCAGCACTTACAGTTGCACAGGTTTGGCCTGTGGTCAAATACAAATTCAGCCTCAATGTCAGGAAGTTTTGAGGGAATACTTGTATACACAACAAAGTTCTGATCTGTTGTTCATAGGGTCACTATGGGTCATAGTTGACTCAGCAGCAACTGATAACATTTGTAGATTAGGCTAAGGGCATGGGGAAGAGCTCATGTTTATTTAGCATTTTGAGGAGGAACAGGCAGGGAATGGGGGAACTTTTCAAAGAGAAGAGTGTTCTAGGGGGGAGGGGTGGGCAGGGAGAAAAGTACAACAGTGAATGAATGGAAATCCAAAGTCTGTGAATTTTCATTAAATTGAATAAAAAAATGATAAGAAAAGGAGAGATTAGCAAACAGGAGGCTTGTACAGCTGATTTTGAAGACGAATCTATTAGGTGCTTAGTCATCATCGAACATGCCAGGATTTGTGCTGTTAAAGCTTCTCATGGCTGCTCTTCGGAAGTTTATACAAAGGCCAGTCTCTTTCCCTCTGCATACGTGCGGCACCTAAAAGCTCTTTCAGATAGCTTAAAACAAGAATTGTTAGTAGAGTTAAAGGTTGTTAGGAAGGAGAACACCTGGAACTGCTGTAGTAACTGAATTCCAAGCTACTTATGTAGGGTTGCTGGTGGCTGGATGGACTTTTGGATCTGAGCTGTCTTTGGGGAAAGGTTAGGTACCATCGTTTCAACTACAATGTATTGCAACTCTTTAAACAATGGATCTGAACCTCGCCTTGTCATGTGCCGTACCATCTCTGACATACTTGAGCATTTTGATACAGTGGGTGTATCAGTCCATCTTGTTGAAGGTCTTCTCATTTGATGACTACTTTTCTAAGCATGATGTCTTTTCTCAACACTGACCTCTCCTAACAACATGCCCACTGTATGTAAAACTAAGTTTAACCAACCTTGCCTTTGCGGAGCACCCTGATTACCCTTCCTTGTGACATACTTGGTTGTTCTTTTGTCTAATGCCACTACTCAAAAGCACCAATCCTTCTGTCATCCTTATTCCTGGTTGAAATTTCAGATGCATAGCAAGTAACTGAAAATAACCATGGCTTATATCTGGTGCACCTTAGTCTTTAAATTGACATCATTGCCCCTCAGAACTTTAGAGAAGTCCATGGCAGCATCTTTTTCTCCAATATAAGACTATCTTTTTATTTCTGAACCACTTTGCTTAGAAAGTACTTTAATTCAGCATGTCACGTGAAGAGGAGAATGAAAGTCTATCATCAGAGCAAATATAGTATCCAGTTACGCTTTTTCCTTCCTATTCACTAAAAAGGTTATCTAAAAGGGAATGAATTTCAGCTGTAGATTGCAGGTTCAAAAGGCAAACAGCAAAGGATTTTAGCTTGATATAGTAGTTTTACTCAGTTGATCTAAAATAAGAGCACAAATGGCTTTAACTTGATAACCAGGTTGCTTTCACTTGCCAAGGGCTCTCTGATGACCTTATGAGTAAGGAGTTACACTGTCAACTCAAAGGCAGGCAGCCAGAATCCATGTGCTGATCTCTGGGAGAAAGAGCAGCAGTCTCCCAGCCTGAAAAATCTGGAGGTTCAGCTATGAGTCGATTCTGACTTGACATCAGAGTTGAGTGATAGGAACTGGGTAAGTAAATGGTTAGGGTCATGCAGCAAAGTGCTGTTCAATGACTAATAGTTTTGGATCACTACTTTTATAAGCATTTTAGTGAATTTATGTTATTTGTTATTTTAGGTGTCTAGTGGCATAGTGTAGAGGGAGTTGCTAACCCAAAGGCTATGCCTTTCTGGTATTTCTTGAAGACAAAGGGCATCAGCTTTATGTTAGGTGCTGTCAAGTCAACTACAACTCCTGGTGACCTTGTGAACAGCAGTTTGTATCTTGCCCCATCCTTCCGCTCTCCGTGCTCAAACCCATTGTTACAGTGTTAATCCATCTTGTTGAAGGTCTTCCTCTCTGACCTTTTCCAATGTCAAAGAGACATCAAAAGTATGTAATTTTCCAAGTACTAGGCCCTCCTGACAACATGTCCAAAGTATAAAACAAAAGTTTTCCTGTTCTTGCCTCTAAGCATTCTGGTTGCACTCCGTCCCAGACAGATTTGTTCTTTTGGCAGATCATGGTATATTCAAAACACTGCAATTCAAAGGCATCAGTTCTTTGCTCTTACATTGTCCAACATTCAGATACATAGAAAACAATTGAAAATACCATAGCTGGCATCTTTTGATTTCTTTACTGATGCTACCATAGGTGTTGATTGTGGATCCAAGTAAAATGAATATTACTTTCGCCACCTGGCAAAGGAGGCAGTTGTTCTTGGAGGTAATTAGCCATATATTCTGTATCTTCCTCTTGCTGACATCCTGCTGCTGCTCCCAGTGTCTTAGATGGCTGCTTGCAAGCTTTTAGTACTCCATGCAATACCCATGAAACTAGGAAGCATTAAACACAGTATCAGGCTAATTAATGGGATGACCATTGATACCAGGGGGCTCACATAGCATAGTCCATAGGGGATTGAGCTACTAACCAGAAGGTGCTGCTTCTGGTATTTCAAGTCTACAAGCCGCTTCGCTGGATAAAGATGGGCAGTCATCCCTGTAACTTAACAATATCCGAAAGCCAAGAGAAGGTCAGCTATGAGTCAGTTCCTACAAGATGACAATGACTGACTTTGATCCAGAAACTAAGACCTTAACCCTCCAAGGCAAGACATTAAATCCCATAAGGGATGCACATTCTTACCCGTGGAAAAATATGTTTTAAAAACTAATTGAGATAGTTGACTTTTTAGGATCATAAAGCAAAATTTTAAATTGTAGAGGTAGGTAAATTCAAACAATGAGAAAAATATGATTTACTATAAAGTTCTCTTTGGCTCTTTGAAAGAAAATAGAATAAAAAGGACCATCCTAACATGTTAAAAAACCACTCTCAATATACAATAGAAGACAGGCCACATCAAACTCTTCATTGTAGTTCCACGGCCTTGAAGTCAATTCTGACATAGCAAACTGCAGAAGACACAACCTTGTTTGCAGAAAATGAAGACTTTGAAATATTTGCTGCAGACAGTCAGAGACTACAGCTTTCAACATGGATTTCATTTCAAAAGGAAAAAAAATCTT